AGGAGAATTTACTGCAGGACTGTTGGACCACACTGACCCAGTTTGAGACAGTAAGTGTAAATAATATTGGACTAAAGTAAGAATCTATCAAACATGACGTTTTTAGCTTTTTGTTCTCTGTACAGTTTGATCAGTGTCCACATGGCGGCACTACCATGTTTCTGTTCATCTTGTGTTGAATTCATGTAGAATAGTCTACAGAAATATAACATCGGCTACATGATGTTTATAATGGGTTTTTCTACAAGGAGAGAGCCACACCATTATAGTGAACTGTTAAGGTCTGTCTACAGACGGTCCGGAGCCAAACCTCCTTCAAGTCTAACAATTTGTCATGTCTTTGTAGCCCGTAATGAATTTTAGAAAGAGTCGTTGTTATTTTACTGAGACTACATCGACCAAGCAGCAGCCTACATCCGTTTACTTAAATCTTAACTTGTATTCAGTGGTAGAATTCGGTTCAAGACGTTGTTAAACGTATTCCGTACCTAGCCATGAAGATGACAATACTTTGTTTTACTGCAGATATTTTGACTACACGTTGCTTATAACACACTTGTGTACTACTACTGCTGATAATATTTGTGTAGGCCTACTCTCACTAATGTAGAATTTTGAAAGTCGTGATCCGAGTATTTCCGCAGTAACGAAATATCCGGTGCTCAGTGGACCGTGAACGCGTCGCATTGATATCAATACTACATTACCCAAGACAGCCCGCGTCGAGCCATGTTGTAGGAAATCCTGTTGCAGCGGATTATTGTAATCCGACAGAGGGTCTGGACGACACATCGGATCACGACAAAAACCAAAGCCCGGTGGCCTGGAACAGATACCGGTCGTCCGAGAATAAAGAGATCAAGTTGGGCTATGATCTGACGCAGCGGTCGGTGCTCCTGGAGCCAGCGATCGGCGGTGCCCGGGCCGTTTCCTGGACCGATTCGTCTCACACACTCTGACAGCGGCTTGGCTTCACTGCACCGCACCGCAGAGCAGAGCAGAGGAGGGAGGAAAAGCGCTCATTTGTCGGCTAAAGAGATCGGCCCTCTTCTCCCTTGTCCCAGGCAGGTTTAAGTCCAGCCCGGCTTGGCTCGGCTCGGTTGTCCTGGACTGGAGCGCTGCGGGTTGCTCGCAGTCAGCTAGCTAGCGGGGCTAGCTCTCTCCAGCTAGCTAGCTAGCTGGTCAGGAATTTTTTAAAGCTTAGTTCGGAATTTAGCGAATTCTCCGAGTCGCAGCCCAGACGGAAGGAGGATGTCGGCGAAAGACCAGAACAAACTGTCCACCACCGAGCGACCCATTAAAGGTATGTGACATTTATTTATGTATCCACATTCTGTTCTCGGGTCAGGAAGTAAACTGCCGCTGCTGTCAGAGCTAGTTTGCTACACCAGAGCCCCTGGATGACGAGCTAGCCCCGTCAACACTTCAGGTACTCGGGGTTTTCTGTCAAGCCCGGCGGTTCACGGAGCTTCTTACCGCTTCTCCCCATCACGAGAAGAAGCAACCGGGTTACACAAGTGAACCAGTCCGACGACAGCTAATGGCTTAGCATCGTAGTTTAGCAGGTGCCAGATGTTAACGCACACACACGGTTCAGCTTCACCGACACCCCGCACACCTGGCTCTTGTACATGACCGCACGGTCTCATGGTGGCCGACGTTACCGGAGCGTGATGAAGCATTGTGCGGTTTGGGGTGTAAACTCAGCGCTGCATGCAGGAGGTGTGTGGTCGTCGTCCCCCGCACATGCACGCGCGCACACATCTGCTTTGGGGAAATGAAGAAACAGTTGTAACCGGAATACTGAGTTTAAGCAGGGCTGCAGATAACGACTGTTTAAGTGACTGGTTATTGTGTAGGGTATTTTTGATGAATCGTTTGAAACTGATAAAATGCTCCTCCCTGTCCCAGGTGCAGTCTTCAGGTGTGTTGTTTTGACCAGCACAGTCACTTTGTTGTTCCTGAGGACCAGGAGAAAGAGCAGCTGGTCAGAGAAGTGTTGGCCTCTTTCTGCCTGGAAACGGTGAAGCTTGGTTTAGGGCTGGAAACGCAGTGCTGCAGTGTTGGTGACTGGGTGTTTGTGTAGTGGCACTAGATTAACAGTTGTGACAGCCCCCACCCATACTGGTCCACTTAAAGAGCCAGCTAATGATTGGTTTTATTATCAGTTTATCAGCAGACTCCCTTCTGTGTTGGTGGGTTCAGCTTCCTAAAGCAGAGCCATATCTGCTGTGAGATATCCAGGAAACAAAACAACAACAGGGCAAGTTTACGACACGAGGGCAGTGAGAGGACAAACCAGGTTTCAGAAGCTGATGGAAGTGACTCCAGGTATAACGTCCCAGGATGCCTTTTCAGAAACGGCACTGCCTCAGCTTTGTGTCGGGCTCAGGGGCAGAACCTGAACCATGTCAGTGCCGAGTTCCTGATCACTCAGACCATAACACGCCTTGTGGTTTCTGTGGGATCTACCCAGTGAAGTTCACACTAAAGGCGACATTACCCAGTGTGAGGATTTGCTGCTTGTCTTTGTTTTCTCTGGTGTTAAACTCAGCCTATTTGCATTTTGGGCTGGTCAGACAAATGGACACAGTTATTAATAATAATAATAATAAGACCATATCAGGACACAAACCGTATAAAACACAGAGTTTAAAAAATGGGTTAAGACTGGAACGGGTTAGGCACCAAAGGCCTGTCTAAAATGATGGGTTATTAGGGTTGACTTAAAGGCCGCTAGCTCAGTTATGACCTGTAGCTCTGATGGTAGGGAGTTCCAGAGCCTGGGGCCATACATGGCAAAAGAACGATCGTCCCATTTTTTGTATCTTGACCGAGGGACAACCAAGGACAGATGCTCTGAGGAGCGCAGAGCTCTGCGTGGAGCATAGACGGAGAGAAGATCCAACAGGTATCGAGGAGTGAGGCCATTCATGGACTAAAATACAAATAGTAGCACTTTGAAGTCAACTCTAAACTGTATTGGCAACCAGTGTAGCGAGAGAAGCACAGTGATGTGGGTGTACCTGGGAGTGTTGGACAACAGTCGAGCCACAGCGTTCTGACCCAGCTGAAGCTTCCGAAGAAGAGATTGAGAGATTCCTACATAGAGGGCATTACAGTAGTCAAGACGCGAGGTGATGAAAGCATGGATAGCTTTTTCTAAATCTGCGTGTGATAAGAAGGGCTTCACCTTCGTTAAGAGTCTCAGGTGAAAAAAGCTGGTCTTAACCACAGATCTGATCTGCTTATCAAAATTAAAGCTGCTGTCAAATATCACTGAGGTTTTTCACGGTATCAGTGAATGAAGGTGCTAACGCTAAAGCACCTAGACTAGGTACAACAGCAGCTGAATCAGGGATAAAGACGATGTACTCTGTCTTACTCTTGTTTAAGTGAAGGAAATTCTGCGGTAGCCAAAGTTTAATGTCACGGATACAATTATGCAGTGGGGTAAGTGCGTTAGAATCGTCTAGTATCAGTGGCACATAGATCTGAACGTCATCTGCATGGAAATAAACATTATGCCTTGATATGATTGAACCAAGTGGTGATATATATAAAGAAAAAAGTAGCGGGGCCAGAATCGAGCCTTGAGGAAAGCCTGAGGTGAGAGGGGCTATGGGGGAGGAGAAATCGCCAATCAAGACAGAGAAGGTCCTATTGGTCAGGAAGGAGGTAAACCACTTTAGAACCGTGTCTCTCGGGCCAACACGGTGTTCCAACTGGGAGAGCAAAACTGCATGATCAACGGTGTCAAAGGCTGCTGATAAATCTAGAAGAACTAGAATAACGGGGCACTTGGCATCAAGGACAATTGTAATGTCGTTATGGACCTTCAGTAGTGCCGATTCAGTGCTGTGATGAGGCCTAAAGGCTGACTGAAACTTATCAACAGCATCCAGTCAATCTAGATGGGACTGCAACTGGGTAAGGATGATTTTTTCCATAACCTTAGATAGAAAAGGCAAAAGGGAAATGGGTGGAAATTAGACGGAAGAGAGGGATCAAGGTTAGGCTTCTTGAGGAGCAGTCTCACTATAGCATGCTTAAGGGCAGTGGGGACCGTGTCCAGCCTTAGGCAGCAATTTATAAAAGTGACCAGAGAGGGACCAATAGTGTCAATAACCTCCTTAATTATCCTGGCTGGGACAGGATCCAGGGGGGAGGAAGCAGACTTTAACTGCAACACACATTCTTTAAGTTGAGGCAGAGAGATCGGAGTGAAGGTTTCCAGAGTATACAATACAGGAGAAACAGATGGTACAGAAAATGGATACTTGGGGGTACTTTGTCTAATATCCCAAACTTTGTCAATGAAGTAATTCTGAAACCCATTACAGGTTCGGACCAACCCCAGAGCAACAACAGGATTAATAAGCAAATTGATGGTATTGAAAAGAACTCTGGGACAGTGACTGTTTTTCAAGATAATATTAGATAGATATTGGGGTTTAGCATCTTTAACAGCTTTCTGATAAGAGACCAGGCTGTCTCTTAAAATGTCCAGAGAAACATGCAGGCCATCCTTCCTCCATTTACGCTCCGCCTGTCTGCAGCGTCTCCGCAGGGCACGGATAGTGTCATTTAACCATGGTCAGGAGTATTTCTAGCTCTCATCCTTCTAAAGGGAGCGATGGAATCCAAAATCCGAGAGCACTTAGTCAAATGAAGAGAGAAAGATGTCGGGACACGTAGGAGGGTTAAGAGCTTCTGATGAGTAGAAATCGGAGACCAAGAAAGCAGCGGCAAAGTCGGGAGCCATTAAGGGAGTAATAATCGTAGGGCCATGGGTCTGGATGCACTCGACAGCACCAGGACTTCAAAATGGACGAAGAAGTGGTCAGAGATGGCCGCCTTTGATACATCCCCAATGCAGACAGACGGACCTCGTGAGACGACGAGGTCCAGTGTACCCCCACGTTGATGAGGGGGACATAATACTGACTGGGTGAGATCAAAGGAGTCCAACAATGAGTTAAAACCATTCGTCAGCTGGTCAGAAGGGCAGTTGACGTGAATGTTAAAATCTCCATAAATGAGCAAACTGTCAGACTGTGGAATAAGCTCTGCTAAGAGTTCCCCAAATTCGTTTATGAAATCCTTGGATTTAGGAGGACGATATATAACTGCACATAAAATAGGACAGCGAATTGTTACAATAAAGGTTTGTAACTCAAAACTGGAGTCGGCCTTGGGGGGGAGAAGGCGACATTTTAGGGTCGGCTTAAAAACAGATGCCAAGCCGCCGCCTCTACCAGCGAGGTACGGGGTGTTGGAAAACAAGTGATCAGCCGGAAGGAGCTCAGAGAAAAGACTATTGTCTCCTTGTTTAAGCCCAGTGATAAGAAACATGTCCAGATCGTACAAAGAGACAAAATCATTAGGGACAAAAGTTTTATTGTTAAGTGATCTTGTTGAAGAGAGCAAAGTGAAGCGGGCTTGACTTATCCTGAGAGAGTTAGGGAAACTGTTGTGGAAAAATAATCTTTTAAAGCTCAGTGAGTGTAAAATAAATACTTAACATCAGTTCTAAAAGTTATTACATATTTCTTCGTGCAGGAAGGAGGTTTCTCTGAACAGAGTCTAATACAGTCTGTTACAGGGAAGCTCAGTGGACAGAGTGTGTGAGTCCTTCTTATACTCAGCCTACAACAAAGACAGATGCTCAGATAAGGGAAACAGGATACAATTCACATCAGGACACCTGCCCTTTGGTCCCAGGTCACATCTGGTTTAGCAACCAAAAGGCATACAAAGGTTTACGACCATGCAATAAACGGTCTGGGGGTCACAACCACACAAATGACTGCATACAATGACATGAAAGCATCAGCTAAAGAACTTAAGGGGTGCTATTATAAAACAGTGATGGACTTCTGCTTTTCTGACATTTTATTGGCCAGAAGATGAGTTCAGTCCAGACCCTGTGCTGCACAACAACACACAAACATGGAACATAAACAAGAAAACACGCGACACAAGGACACAGAGTGCGGCCACTGTGTGCACAGCTCAGTGTAGAGCAAGATAAACTGCAACAGGAACGGCGAAGGCAGTCAGGAAAGGGGCTGGCAGATTAAATGATAACCAGCAGTTAAAAATGAAGTGTGATAACAGTGTGTGGTCACAGAGTGTAGTGTAACACGGGTCCTGTATTTGAGCTGGTGCCGTGATGTGGTAACCAGTTAGCCAGCAGGTTGGTTGGAGGTCAGGACCGGTATGAGAGGCTCAGTAGGTCAGAGAGGCTGAGGACCAAGAAGCATCATCACATCATTAAAGCTGCAGTGGCGTTTCCTGTTCACACTGATCGAAGTCTTGAATTAAAACCTCCTTTGTTCTGTTTATTAGCTGGAGGCTGAATGTGGTACCTGGCGCTGTAGAAACAGAAAACTGTAGGTTATGTCACTGACAACAGGTTGTTTGTTTAAGCAGTGCAGACACAGGAGCATGTCAGTGACAGCTGTGTGTGTTTCCTGTTGGTGCGCCGGTAACCGACCACGTCATCATCCTCAGCTCACTCCACCATCACTGCCATCTGACACAGCTCCATCAGTCATGAACAAGGACAGAATCATTTCACTCGACGGGCTGTGCAAAGGAACGACTGATTCAATTACCAGTGGTAACTAAGCTGAAAGGCCAGAGCAGGTCTATCAGCACGTACACACACACACACACACACACACACACTCCAGCTCCTGCTCACCAAATGACCAATAGGATTACAATGCATGAATTGTTGTACCTTTGTTGAGTGCGGAGTTGCCCAATAAGATAAAATGGATTGTAAGACCTTAATTCGGGGTCAGTGGATGGAACTCCTGTGGGAGCTCTGTCTCTCTGATCCCAGCGCTGTAAGGTCTACCTGTGATCAGACGGTCAGTAAACAGTCAGACAGTGATTTTAAACAGTCCTCTCCTGTCGTCACTTCTCGTGCTTCCAACTAAAGAATTGGGTTAATTTCTAACATAGGTGACGGAGCATTTAATGAGTCAGCTGGGCTCTGATTGGATCACAGAGCCACCATGGTGCTCTGAGGCTTAGTCCAGGATTTGAATGGGTTCTGCTACAGCTTGTTGCTTTTTGTTATTTTAGAGTTTTCTCCCTTTTCCTGACTCATTGTACAACAATCTCAAAATCTTTTTCCCCTGTTTCTGACTTTATTCCAATTTGGTACTGTTTTCTTGTGGTTGTGGTTTTGGTGACAGTTTATTAAGTCAGAAGTCTGTGATGTTGTAATGTTGTTATAATGTCGTTTTTGATCAGACTGCTTCCGAGAGGCGTGGACGGTTTGGAGGCTGGAGTTTGTGTTGCTGTCGGGAGGAGTTGCTGATGTTTTCTCCATCACATTTATATCCATGAGCCCATCCTCTAAAAACGGGCACAAAAGAATGACTGTTACTGTTCAGCACAGATTTTTAGGGATACAGTTGATCGACAAACATAATCAGCAACTACTTTGATTACTTTGAGTAATCATTCCAGGCATTGTTTCAACAGCCAGCGTTTGCTGCTTCCAGTTTGTCCAGTCTGAAGCTGGTGGTCTGGTGTCAGAGAAGACATGTTTCGGTGCAGTTACTAGGACGAGGTGTCCTCAGGAACAGTGCATCTCAGCCGTTGACTATTTGAATACCACTTCCTCCAGTGGTCTGTCGCACCTCATTTTCACAGCTGTGGTTATGTTTTCCTGTCTTCAGAAAGTCAGAACAGGCTTCCAGGGTGGGGGGTAGGTGATGTTGTCTGATCAGACCCACGTCTGTCTGGAGCCTGGCTGGTTCCTTCTGCTGGCTGAACCAGTTCAACAGCACTGACACGGTTGGCTAATGTGTGCGACCCAGTTTGGTTTCAGAGCTGCACTAAACTAGACCACTGGGCCAGGAGAGAGAGAGAGTGTGTGTGTGTGTGTGTGTGTGTGGACACAAGCAAGCGTGTTCAACTCAGTTAGCTGTGACTTAGCTGTGACACCTGCTTTCACCTGCTCCTGCTTGTTAATGTCAGTCACAAACATACCCACTACCAACCCCCTTCCCCCCCCCCAGACCTGCCAGGTCTCTCTACGAAATCAAGGCGTTTTCCAGCAGTTAACCTGCCTGGTATTTCCTCTAGGGCCTGGTGTGTGCTAGTCTTTGTCTCCGGGTCGAGCCTCAACATGCCCGTGTGCTCTTCAGGAGACTTTCTGTTACTGATCTGCAGGACTTTGTAGTATCACTGACTGCTGCTGGCTTCGGGTGCACGTCCAGTTTGATCACATCTGTCTGGGCTGCTGTGACTCAGACTGTGTCCACGTTCACACAGAAACACGCTGAGCATGCTGCAGCCTGCGCTACAGTCACGAAGTAAAACAGCGGCCCCTCCCTAACACGCCTACCTGCACCTGAGAGAGAGACGAGTTACCTGCTGACGTTCAGCAGCCTGAGATAACGAGCAGGAGGGGAAGGGCAGTGCTGAGCAAAGAGCCAACAGCAGGACGCTGTTACATGTTCAACAGGCTTCTGTCTTATTATAGACGCCATGACTGACTGAATATTTATCAGCAGCTATTTTAATAACTCATCTGAGCTTTCATCATCATCATCATCACCTTTATTCAGGGAAAGAATAGTGAGAGAAGTTGAGAGCGAGCTTTCCTTCTCAGTGACAAACACGAACACCTTCAAAACAGGAAAACATACAAGTGGTATTAAAGTCCAAAATCACAAGACACACGTTAAAACAGTAAATAGACATAAAATGATGTTAAACACATTTAAACAGTAGAGTAGCATGTAAACACAGTTTAAACTGATAAAGGAACGAGCACAGCCAGTCGGGTTTTTTCTGCAGCTTCATTAAAAACCTTAATAAGATGGTTCAGTGCAGCATGTGGGTCAGAACGTGTCACAGTGAGAGGACCAGACCATCACATCAAAACACATGGAAGTGCAATGGAATGACCATCGATAATCAGGAAGCCACGTCTCTGGAATCACAAGAATAACATTTGTTGGCCGAGTCCACAGTAACATAGTCTACCTTTGACCGTAGGCCGTGTACGTTCATATGTGTAACACTGAGGCCCTTATGATGAGAAAAGCTATGAAAGTTCAAATCGGTCCCGATCGGCCGCCGGGTTCGACCCCAGAACCTTCTCGCTGTGAGGTTCTGGGAAAGCCAGAAATCCCAAATAAAAGCAAACTCTCCTTTCTGACAAGTTTGATGCTTAATGATTTGATCAGTTGGTGACTGACTAATGGAAGAACCTCCAGACTGATCCTCTTCTGGTCTCGGGCTCTCGGTTGGACTAGATGTTTCAGACGACGCCTTGGGCTGTGGGAGACAAAGCGGGCGTTTTCAGGTTTGCTGACATTTCACCATCGATTACAGAGATGACTGAACAGGACACGGCAGAGTAAAGACAGCGGTCGGTGGCAGCTGTGATCCGTTGTTTACCTTCTGTGTGGTTCTGTGCACAGACAAACACAGTGAACCAGGATCAGCTATTTGCATCTCTGCTGCAGTCTGTGCTGTGCTTTGTGTGTGCTGACTGTCTCTGGTGTTTGTCGCCTCATGCTGAACGCTGCGTTGACAGAAGTGCTACGTCTCCGGGATGAGCAGCTGTCCTGACACCACCCGTCTCTCTCTCTCTCTCTCTCTCTCTCCTGTCTGTAGCGGTGCCGTATCCCCCCGGTACACGCCTGACGGTCACAGACCTGTACGTGGATGGGAAGCCCAGCGTGGAGCTGCTGAAGGCTCATCTGGTGAAGGAGGGCCGGCTGGAGGAGGAGGCGGCTCTACGGCTCATCAACGAGGGAGCCAGCATCCTCCGGCAGGAGAAATGCATGCTGGAGGTGGAAGCCCCCATCACAGGTAACAGCCCCCTGACTTGTGGGCCTCATTGTGTCAGATTTCTCCTCAAAGTGAGCATGACAAGGACAAGCAGCCAGTGGACACACAGCTCCACTGTGTCCAGACACCAGTAAACCCAGCAGTGACCCCACTGGTGACCTGTGAACACACACTGGAGTTTAGTCTGACTCAGCCCCACACACACTGTCCTGCTGCCACAGACACTAGAGACCAAATGTGGATTAATCCGCCACTGAAAATAGTCCCCAGCAGGTGCCTCCAGTAGCTTCCTGCTGCTACAGGCCATGTTAAATATCCTGGGACAGAATCACTACACTAGGCTGTAATAACTCTACAATCAGTGGATTGGCTGTTAATGAATGTCATCCAGGTGCAGAACGACCAGTATGAACCGTTTCCTGTACATACGGGATCTCGGCTGCAGAGTATCATGTAATACGGTGCTTCTATAACCCAGCTTGTACTCTGTGTGTGTCCAGTGTGTGGAGACGTCCATGGCCAGTTCTTTGACCTGATGAAGCTGTTCGAGGTGGGCGGATCCCCCAGCACCACCCGCTACTTGTTCCTCGGGGACTACGTGGACCGGGGTTACTTCAGCATTGAGGTAGGCGGTGGCACGCTCACACCCACGTGTTTGTGTTTCTGCCATCTAATCTGACATTTGCAGCGACGGCCTGATGTTCAGTCACGGCCCCATACGGCCTAACACAGCATCTTTGAATAGCTGTAGAATGAAAGGCGCACTGTCGCCCCCCTGCCACACTCTGTGTCTGGTCTGCGTCCACACTCTGTCTTGTGCAGCTCTGGATGCATGACATTCTTACTGGCCGCTGTCAGCGTCCTCGTTAGGATCAGTGGACGTCCTCACAGCCCAGGCTGGGCCACAGAGAGCAGGTTCAACGATGCAGTCAGAATCCGGGTCGGGTACCTCTTGGAGCAGCAGATGCTCCTTTGAACTAGATTAATTTAGAAGTCGTTTAACTTCACGCTGCCCGACTCCAGCGTGACACAGCTCTGATCACTGCACGCTGAGTTCACCCTGGTACCAGCTGGAAGCTTCTGATGAAGGCGTGTGTTAGAGCTTTGTTTTAGGCAGTGGCCTCATTTTAGTCAGTTTATTTTTTATTTATTTAAAGCTACAGCTGTCTCCATCTTTGCTCTGTGCAGTTACCATAGTTACAGCTGTCTTCATGTAACCATGGTAACTAGAGACAACAAAGATGGAACCAGCTGTAGCTTTAAATACATACAAATAAATAAAAACAGGGCATAAGCCTGCCAGTGTCAGGGTGTGTCGTTTACATCTCAGCAGCACCGATCGCCCTGCCACAGGGTCTGTAGTGTCCACGGTGCCCTGGGCTGAATCCAGTACGTGGGATTCTTGTCCCTCCTGTGCCGAGTCCGGAGGAACAGCTGGTTAGATCGGGCCATTGTGGACGATTCCTTCAGAAAAGGAAAACATAGTAAATTAAACAGGTGGTTTGATGCAGCACAAAGACACTGATTGGACGAGTGGGTTTGTTTGGACGTGGTGTCTGTCGCCTTCACTGGTTCCTCTCCCTCGTAACAAAGGCCCGTTTAGAAGTGAAGCATCTCCATCACACCTGAACTTTGAAATGCTCAGAGGCTGAGCTGGAAATCACCACGATGAAGGACGTAATGTGGTGGCTTCCCGTCTCTCACAGGCTTTCACTGTTAGTCATCTGCTAAAGTACAGCGACGCGTCCTTAGACCAGCCACAGTTCCAGAGGTTTCCTGTGAGGATGCCCTGCAGGTCTGGGGCTGCGTTGATCACTGATCATACTGGTAGACTTGTTGATTTCTGGTGGTCCAGGCAAACTGGGGACAGTGTATTGAACCATTAGTTTTGATCAAGGTTGACTGTAGGTTTAACCTTGTCCATCGTGTGTTTGTCCCGTAGTGTGTGCTGTACCTCTGGGCCTTGAAGATCAACCACCCCAACACACTGTTCCTCCTCAGAGGTAACCACGAGTGCCGACACCTCACCGAGTACTTCACCTTCAAACAGGAGTGTAAGTCCTGTGGCTTTGTTTGTCTTTCAGAGTCCCCACCATAGACAAACGTCTTATCTCATTGTATCCTAAGAGGGAGTGGTGCTGTGTGTTCAGCTCAGTGTGTTTAAAATGTCTGACCTTGGGCTGTGTGTGTGTGTGTGTCCTCCAGGTAAAATCAAGTACTCCGAGTGTGTCTACGATGCCTGTATGGAAGCGTTCGACTGCCTGCCTCTGGCGGCGCTCCTCAACCAGCAGTTCCTCTGTGTGCACGGGGGTCTGAGCCCTGAAATCACCTGCCTGGATGACATCCGAAAGGTAACTGGGACCGGATGGGTTTACTCATCCAGCTGTGTGGGCGTTCATGCAGAAGAGGAGCACTCAATCTGAAATCAGCTGAGCGGGCGCTCAGTGTGAAATGATGCACAGAAAAACTGTGCAGGTAAAAAAGCTTCTCCAGTGGGTGGTGACTCAGGAGCAGGAGGGAGCTGAGAGGTGCATCGGCCAGAGATTATGTTCAGAACGTGCATGGATACAAGCACTAAGTGGCTTGTAGAGCAAAGAAGGCTGCTCCAGACTGCAGCGTGTTTCTCTTCAAACATCAGGAAGTTTATGGTCATGTGTCTCCAGAAGCAGAGGAAAGGCAGGAAATGACCAATGCACAAGGGACCAAGGGGGTGAAAGGCTCTTGAGGTGAATTTGTGATATAAATAAAATTGGACTTGTCACACAGAGACCGTGTGCACTAAAACAATAGCTTTAATCACTTAGCTTTAGTCAGAGCCTAGAAGCTAGTGAACCATGTTGAAACAAAACTGAACGTGAAGCCACATGTAGATAAGCCACACATCACAGCCAGGACGCTGCTCACTGACAGACAGGATAAGTCAAACGTATGAAAACTGGGATGCACAGAAGAACATACACAGTATATTACAATACGGGAGGTTTTAGCTGAAGGCCGGTGTGGGGGTTAGACAGCTGTTCAGTCTCTGCTGGAGGCTGTGATGACTTCAGGTGTCCACGAGTATGAAACAGGTTTTGAAAGTGAGGCTGAGTAGAGGAGGAGTGATGGTACAAGCCTCTCAATACATGTGGGAAACACACGGTCATGGTCAGTACAGTTTATTTCACTGCAGCAAGGTGCTGAATGTTCGTGTTCCTAGCTGGCTGCTGTGTGTCGGCGTCACTTTAGTTAAACAGCACCTTTAAAGTCATCGGTGGAATTGTGAGTTGATGCATTTATAAATCAAAGTGAAGCTGTTTCTGTAGGAAATGAAACAGCAGCATGAAGGACAGAAACAAAGTCTTTAGAAGGTTGATTCATACTTTACAGGAAGCACAGTGGCTCTAGCTTTAAGCACCATTTATGTTCATATGTACAGCTTGTTACCATGGGATGTGTTGTACCGTTTTCATCTCCAGTGGCTTGGCAGGTCACCATGGAAACGCACTGTGGAGCTTTGAGCGGTTTCCTTTAGGTAGGACTGTGTGTGTCTGAGCTGTGTCACTGACAACCTGCACCAGCGCCGTGAAAAGCTGCAGTACCGTCTTATAGAAGAAGAGCTTGACGTTTCTGGAGCAGCCAGGCCATTGACAACAGTGTAAAGCTGGTGAAGCTTCAGCAGTTTGTCTTGTCATCTGTTGGTGAGAAGCTTGTTTTAAACCCTGATGGTGCAGAAAAGCTTCCTCTGTCTCTGATCTACAGTATACTGACCTACAGAAATGTCCTGTGAAGGGCAGCTAGGTTAGAGGTGAACCAGAAACCCACAGCTGGACAAACCTCTGATCCGTGTTGGAGCCACAGCTGACGGGGATTTAATTATTTAATATAATTATTTATTGAGTGACTTGTTTCATCTATAAATTGTGTGATGTCTTCTTGTCCTGTCTGTCACCACAGGACGGTGTCTCAGCAGCTGGAACCACAGACGTTACTTTAGGAATGACTTATGTGATTCATTGATCATCAGTTAATTACGTCGTGACTCTGGGATCTCTTCATGACACAGGCCGCTGGTTTTATGTGACCAGGTTTAGTTGGAGTTTTGACTGTGTGTGTGTGTGTGTGTGTGTGTGTGTGTGTGCACGCAGCTGGACCGGTTTAAGGAGCCTCCTGCGTTCGGGCCCATGTGCGACCTGCTGTGGTCGGACCCAGGGGAGGACTCCGGTTTTTTTTTACACTGCTGCCACAACAGTGTGCGAGGCTGCTCGTATTTCTACAGGTACGGCGCCGTCAGAGCTCCGACTGCCGTCTCTGCTCGCTCCGCTAACCTGAGCTGGTTAAGGCTTTCATCAACATTGGCTTATCTCTGGCTCAGTGAGCGCTGGTTAAATCCCCTGTCACACAGACAGTGAAAATAAATATTAGCATTCTCTGCTCTGGATGTTGACACCACGTGGAGGTCGCAGTGCAGCGAGCGCTGCTGCTCTGAAGCCTGTTTGGTCCTTTCTCAGTTTGGGTTGCACATTCAAGTGATTCATCAAGGAATGACAGTGAACAGCTGTGTGTCTGGTAGACCTGGGGGCGACCATGCCCTGCTGTCATGGTTTTATATGACTGATCCAAGTTTGTTCAGTGAAAGTGCAGCTTGGAGCGTCAGGCCACAGCCCCTCTGTCGAGCCCCTGTGTATGGAAACGTTCTGGTGGATTCATGTCTGAATAAACACCTGAGGAGACGTCCTGGTGGCAGCCTAACGCCGCACAGCGTTTTCATAATGACAGTGTGTTGTACACTGTGGGCAGGGCAGGTACCACCTGACAGGCGATTCGCAGCACGACGCTGAACGGCTTGTGACTAAAGTTTAATTTGAAGTATTGATAAAATAATTATTATTGACCTAATGAACCTGTCGGAGCCCTCGGGGCACCGGCGGCGTCTCAGCTGCACCAGAGCATTTGTTAAAAAATGGTCTGGTGTATGGTTGGAGCAAAACTTCCTGTACTCTTGTTCCTGACCTCTGACCTTAAGTTGGGCCGGACCAGGTTTAATTACTGTTTATATTAGTGCACCAGGAGGCAACGGGGAAAAGAGTAAAATGAGGGTAAATGAGCTGACATGTATTTACACTGTTCTTGGTAAAGAACTGTTCCTTCCAGTGTTTCCATTGAGATCCATCTTGTTTTAGACGTGAACAGATGTCGACAGCTGATGTTCATGCAGCTGTTGAAGAGTCCAGGGTTTAGGAGTGTGTCAGGTCCAACGGCTGAATGAGGGTTATGATGTAATGAATGAAAACTGAACTCTGACCTGTCCTGTGTAAAGCCTTGACATTAATCAGACTCTAATGTCGGGGCGTCTCTCGTTGAAGCAGCCGAGCTGTAGGAGGACGCAGGTCGCCTCGGCTCAGCTGCTGCTGTTTGTTTGTCCTCTCAGAGACCTCTGTCATCATCGTCACTAATGACTCACTGTGCTTTCAGTTACCCAGCTGTATGCGACTTCCTGATGAACAATAACCTGTTGTCTGTCATACGAGCACATGAAGCCCAGGACGCCGGGTGAGTCAAACAGCAACCGGTCACTGTGATTGGACATTACATGTTGTGTTATGGTAACGTCTTCCACTTTACGTTTGTCTGATGTTAATGCTGTTTTCCACTTTGACCTTTGAGACCAGTAGCAAACGGCCGCCCATACATGTTCAGTGTTTGTGTTAAAGTTACCGAGTTAACGTCTCTCCTCTGCGCTGCTGTGACGTTTATCTTCGTCTCGCTGTGTGTTTGGTGACCGGCAGGTATCGAATGTACAGGAAGAGCCAGACGACAGGCTTCCCTTCTCTGATCACCATCTTCTCGGCCCCTAACTACCTGGATGTGTACAATAACAAAGGTGAGTGAGGGGAAGGGTGAAACCATGGCAACAGGAAGTAGAAACGTTCATGTGTTTGGTGTGTGCTGTCCCATGTCAGCGGCCGTGCTGAAGTACGAGAACAATGTGATGAACATCCGGCAGTTTAACTGCTCCCCCCACCCCTACTGGCTGCCCAACTTCATGGACGTCTTCACCTGGTCGCTGCCCTTCGTTGGAGAGAAAGGTGAGTCTGCCCGTCACTGCTGTGTGACTTCTATCTGACTAAGGTGAATTTGTTACTGGAAGACGCCACTTGTGACATTTATCACTATTTTCTGTTTATACAGTCAATCAATCGTAAAAATAAGACAAATGGTCAAATAATCAGGAAATAATTGTTACTTTCAGCCTTAGACACAGATTTGATCCACATTTATATGTGAGTCAATATTAGCCCCACATCCAAACGGGCCCCAGTGTTTAAACCCTGCTCTGGACTTCCTGTTTAAACACCAGGCATGTTTACTGTGCACAAACCCCGTCCAGAGACCAGCAGCACCGGTGAACGTGGTGTCCTCACCGTCATGTGTGTGAGTCCCCCCCTCCCCCCTCCTTTGTGTAGCTTCCCAGTGTCTTCCCGTTCCCTGTGCCGCAGTATCAGGTCGGACGTGCCCAGTGTGACGCTGTACTCGTGTCTCCACAGTGACAGAGATGCTGGTGAACGTGTTGAACATCTGCTCTGATGACGAGCTGCTGTCAGAAGGGGACGACACATGTGAGGGTAAGAGGATGTAATGCCTTCATCATCGTCATCACACCTGCTCTCTCGTTTTTAAATAAAGCAGAACTGGTGTTACTCACCCAGATGTTTTAATCGCTTCCCTCCAAACAGCTGTTCAGAGCTCTTGTCTGAACCTGTGCAGGTTGTTCACTTTGCTGCCTTTACGTTTGCGGTACCTGCCAGCAGGCGACCCCGACCCTTTACGTTTGCTGTTGGCAGACAACCCCATGTTGCTCTTGTTGTTGGACACCGACAGCTTTAACAGAGCAGGGTTACATCGGTACTGAAACCTCGTGTGGGGGGTGTGGCCCTGTTATCCTTCAGCCTGATGTCCCTGCTCTTCTGTGGCCCTCAGCCCTCTGGTTCCACCGATCACCTCTTCTTTACCTGTGAATCCCACCTGAGAACATGTGCTAATTTATTTAAGAGCAAACAAAGGTCACTTTCCGGTAGATGACGGCAGGCGACCCCGACCCTTTACGTTTGCAGTCCTGCGGCTGTGACTTGTTGCTCTTGTTGTTGGACACCGACAGCTTTAACAGAGCAGGTTTACATCGGTACTGAAACCTCGTGTGGGGGGTGTGGCCCTGTTATCCTTCAGCCTGATGTCCCTGCTCTTCTGTGGCCCTCAGCCCTCTGGTTCCACCGATCACCTCTTCTTTACCTGTGAATCCCACCTGAGAACATGTGCTAATTTATTTAAGAGCAAACAAAGGTCACAGTCTTCTGGTTTATAAACTACGATGCAGTGAAGATTTAGTGACTAACGTGGGCGCCGTTAGCCTTTCCTAATGCCTGGGAACCAAATAAAACGGTAGCTGACACCTGCTCTAGATTTGTAGGCTGCAGCTTTAAACCAGACTAAAGGTCCGAGTTGTACCTGTGAGTGTTCGTGATGTGAAGCACAGCTACAGCTTTGTCGTGTGCATTTCTTCTTGTTCTTGTCCTTCCTCTCCTTTGACTGATGCCCTTTCACGTCGCCGTTCAGGTGGAACTCCTGCTGTGAGGAAGGAGGTGATCAGGAACAAGATCCGAGCGATTGGAAAGATGGCTCGTGTCTTCTCCGTGCTCAGGTGCGTACTTCTTTCTCTGATCGAGGTTTACACCGTCACAGTGGGGGGTTTACCCTGCTCCTCATCCTGATGCTGCTGTTTGACATAAATGAGGGTAATTTGGCCTTTTGTACCACGTGTTGTGTGATTTTGTTCATATTTTTATGCCTTTTGTGGATTTAGTTTTGAACTAAAGCTTCTTTCCTGACAGTAAAAGAGATTTAATACTTGAGAGGGACTCTCTTAATTTATAAAAGCTATTAAAACCCCAGTGAAGACAGAAATAGGCTCTCTAGTTACACCTTATTTCCAGTCTTGCTCCACTTTGACTTTTTCCTTGATTTGCATGTGTCCTCCTTTAATCCTGTGCAAGTGTGTCAGAATAACTTGTCCTTAAATGAATGTTCCCGTTCAGAAAAGGTCTGAGTTATTTTAAGGTCCTCTCCAGTCCCACTTTAGTTGTTAGTGAATGGATAATCAGTTATGTTGTGTTTGTTATGGGTCAGGTTTACGCACCAGCCTGGCTACGTGCCGTAAACACGTGATCAGTTTTACATCAGCTGCACTGGTTAAACATATATACAGCTGCCTTTTTGCAGTAGACTGAGTGGTGCAGTGGGTAGAGCAGTCGTCTCCAACTGGAAGGTTGGAGGTTCGAATCTCAGTCCACGTGTTGAAGTGTCCTTGGGCAAGACACTGAACGCCCAAGTTGCCTGTGATGGCGGTGCGTTTGCACGCTTTGGCCCGGGGCCCTCGGCGCCAAACAAAATTTCATTGTACATGTCACAATGTTACAATAACAATAAAATAAAGCTTCTTCTTCTAATGAGGACATTTTGTTGATGACAGTTTTATTTCTGTTTGAGCACCACTTTACATTACATTAAGCTGTGAACAGCAACTTGGACCAGTGGAGTGTAAACAGGAAGCCACAGGCGCTAATGTGTGTGCAGTAACTGATCACTGGGCTGAGAGAAAGGGGCTCCAGTTTGCTTCACTGTGGACTGGGGTTCAAATCATTTTTTCCCTGACTGTAGCTGAGGTTCATTTTCTACCAGTGAACTGACTCATGGCTGCACAGGCCCTGACGTGGACTGTGATGGGTTTTCCACTGGTCTCCCAGTGTGTGTTGCAGGAGCAGCCAGACGACTAGAACACAACATGTAGTCCACAACCTGAGGTACTTTGTCCCGTTCCTCGCTCTGACGAAGCTGTGTTTGTTTGTGTTTTGGCAGAGAGGAGAACGAGAGCGTGTTGATGCTGAAGGGGCTGACCCCGACTGGGACGCTGCCTCTGGGAGTTTTGTCCGGAGGACGGCAAACTCTGCAAAGCGGTGAGTGTGAAGGCAGCGCCCCCCCCAGACACTAACAGAGTCCAGCTAACACTAACTCCCTGTGCCTGCACTCACACCGAGAGACTAACAGCCCCCTCAGAAACACTCGACATCCACACAGTGAAATGTCAGGTGGTGTCGTCTCTCCTCTAAAGGACCATTCTGTGCAAACACCTCTGCCATGCTGCCCTATAAAGAGCTACAGAGTGAGGGTGGGTCAGACCTGCTGCTCGACAGAAACACCGATTTGATCAGTACATCAGCGCTAAAGTGAGTGACTCAAAACAAACTGACACCATATGCTGCTCCTGACCTCTCTTTGCCCCCTCCCATCATGTTCTGTTTCCCAGCGATGATGTAAACTACGGATGCCTGGTTGGGACAGACTGTACAGAACGTAGCCTCCAGTCTGCAGCTAGCATTAACTGCTAACGAGTCCCGGCTCTAGAGCGGTGCTACAGTGACACAGTGTCACGTTACCGTGTCCAGAGCTCAATGATTTCTGATCCATATTCTCTTTGTTTGGCTGACAGTGTTTGTAGAGGACGTGTCTGTCTGATGAGGACACAGACGGCTAAGCTAGCTCAGCTGTTAGCTCACATCCTGTTGGCGATGTTGATTCTCCGTTAACGTCGGAAACAAAGCGACCGTATCCTGACTAGGGCTGCAGCTAAAGAGCAGTTTTCTTATTAATAATCTGCTGTTTGTTAACTGAGAGTTCTCAGTCACAGTTTCCTTTAAAGCCCAAACATGTTCAGTTTATTTGGCATTTTTACCAAATAAATGACTAAAGAGGTTAAATGGTGAATACGACCTGTTGACCAGCTCGTCAGTGACTCACCCGCCCGCCGCGGCTCCAGCAGGGTGATGGCTGAACACCCTGCTCCCAGAAGAGAACGGTTTTGTTCTCACGTCTTTTTACGGCAGCACGGCGTCGACACTCGGATTCCTCTAACAAACCTTCATGATGACGATGATGATGCTGATTGACTCTGTGGGTGGAGGGCGGGGGGTGTGATGATGGACTCCATGTTCACAGTGATAACGTGACTGACTGAATGCACTGATATTTAACCTTCCCACTCTCTCTCCATTGGTTTTGGGCATGGCACTTCTACTCACGCTTACACAGCCACCGTAGAGGCAGAAGAGGCACGAGGTATGCAACCGTCTCCGTCTGTGTCTGTGTCATGTTTTACCTGTGTGACCGGGCCTGAGAGAAGGTCACGAAAGGTCACTGTGTGTGTGTGAGTGTGTGTGTGTGTGTGTGTGTGTGTGTGTGTGTGTGTGAGTGTGTGTGAGAGAGAGAGAGCTGCAGCCGCTCAGTTTGTTTCTGATGTAGTCAACTGGTTTACTCAGATCATCTTACACGTGATGTTATTTTACATGTTGTCATACTTGATATACTTGACTACTTGATATCTTTGTACTTGAATTCGTCCATGTGACGTGTTGTTTCAAAGCTTAGACTCTTGTGTTGATGTTACCAGTTAATGATGCTCGGTGCCGGTCGGTGACGACCTTCTAGAACGAATACACAGTTGTAGTAGTGAAATGTCCCTTTACTGAACGTCTGTCTGTTTGTCCTCATGCTGTCCTTGTGCTGGTGTGAAGTAAGTTTACTCTCCTCCCAGTACTGTGTGTGGTGTGTACCAGTAATACCAGTGTGCAGCAGGGTCAGAACGTCCAGAAGCTTCTGAAGACACTGAATGAGGTCACTAACGAACTGGAGCCTCGCCCTGGTTCTTTTAGTGAGGTGTAAGATATTCACTGTTGACAGAGTAAAGTGATCAGAAAGCAGGTGGAACACAATGTTCTGTTGTCACCACGTTCTGGTGTCGCCGTCAGCAGAACCATCAGCTTTGTCTGGAGGGCGCGCGGTACTTTCTGACCCTGCTGTTATCAGTCGGCCGCGGCTCTGCCTTCATAGACGTCTGTTTCTTCGCAGCCATTCAAGGCTTCAACCCGCAGCACAAGATCCAGAGTTTTGAGGAGGCCCGAGGTCTGGACCTGATCAACGAGAGGATGCCCCCCCGCCGTGACACCAAGCAGCAGGAGCCCGCCCCCTTCGTGAACAACCTGCCGGCCAGCACCGGGCCGCCGGACAAGAATGGCACCAATGCACAGGCCTAGATCCTCACCCTTTATCTCCCCTCTTCTTCCTCTCCTTTGCTTCCTTCCTTCCTTCCTTCTTTCCTCCTTTAAGAGCAGAAGAGGCGGTTCAGTCCGAGCGACTCGCGCTTAATTTAATTTATCATCCGAATATCACAGTTTCAGACTGAAGAGGAGACGTGGACTTTGCTGGAGCCACTCGCTGCCCAGTCCACTTTTTAATCAGGGGTCTGCTCATCACAACGACACTGTTTTCTGTTGGTTTTATTTTGGTGAGGGAGGAAGTGTTCACACACACACACACACGCGCGCACACACACACACACACACAGAGGGACAGAAGCTGATTCTTTCTTATGCCAATGATAGTGTGACTGAGCTCAGAGGAGCTAAGTATTGACATTTTTATGACATATGTACATTTTAATTGTTCTGTCTTTTCAATGTGATGTTTTTTTACAGCACACTGATTTAATCATCGAGTGGGGGGAGAAGGGCTGAGGGGGGAGGGAGGAAGAGGTAAAGGGTTACTCTGCATTGCTGAAACTTGGGGCTTTACGTATGGGAGTTCATTAGAAGGTGGAAATGAGCAGGAAGAGGCTTAACTCGAGGGCGTCTCGCTGGCCCCCGGTGCACGAGGGCGATGCTGAGCGGTGTCCGAGACTCCCTGTGCTGGCATGAAACCGCCACAGCTTGAGTTGAGATTTGCTGGGAAACCACTTGGATCTTGTTTTTGGGGCTTTGGCCGTTGTTTCTCTCAGCAGCAGTGACACAAGGCTCACGGGTCAGAAACCGAGATCCACGGTGTCACTACACCTCCAGGGGAACATGACGTTGTTTCTCTCAGCAGCAGTGACACACCGAGATCCACGGCGTCACTACACCTCCAGGGGAACATGGTGGGGAACTGTCAGTTTATGGCTACACCACCTACAACAGGGGCACGTCAACCACTCAGTGGTCAGTTTATTAGGAACCCCCGTCTGATCCTTCAGTGAACCCTCCCTCATGAGGTGTCGGTTCACTGTGGAGGTTCCTTCTCCACAGGCCTTTCACTTATGTCCAGCCCACACACACCAGTATACCACAGTAACTGGCCCCAACACAACCAGTGTTTATACAGCTCACAGACTGGTAACAGCTGTGAAATGATCCCACCGTGCTCTGAGGTGACTGGTAACGGTTGCAGATTAGTTTCAAGACAAAACATCAGATCTGTCATCTGCTAGAATGTGAAACTTTCCCCCGTCACGTCTTTGGCCTTCACACTGTAGGTCAGACATTGTAGACGTCACCTGGGACTCTCAGAAATCTGTGCACGTCACAGCTTTCTGATGGTTTATAAACCAAACCGTGCTGAAAGTCGCTGGCAGAGCCGTTGGTAAAGACGGTAGACGACAGCTGCAGCTCTGAGAGAAACCACGGAGAAGCTTCAGAACAAGAGCCAAGTTGTAATGAACCTGTAAAAAGACACACGGCAGTGGGAGTGCTGGGGCTGCTGAGGTCCTGGGTGGGTTTGGTCTAATCATTCTGTCTTTGCTTTGGAGGCGGTGGGCGGCTCAAGCGTTCAGGCCTCGTTTCCGGCTGGAGTCTCAGAACACCTCTCAGAAGGCACAGAAGCTTTCAGGATAAGAAAATCAAGTCTTTTTCTTTCCAGCTCAGTTCGAGGAAATGAGAACTTGTTAGTTGAGTACATGTACTGCCAGGCCTCATTTCTGTAGGTGTTTCACTCCATTCAAATAAAAAACAGAGAAGTGATGGTGCTTGTGTGTTTGTTGAATGCTGCTGCTGCTGCGCTCAAGGACGTCTCTGTCGCCAAGCGGCTGCCAATCAAAGGCCGGCGTGGGAAGTGTGTCTTTGTGTGGATTAATCCTGCAGGGACACGAGTGGCATTGAAACATCGCCAGCTCCTCGCTTTTATGTGCAGGCCCCATGTGTTTCTTAGCAACACTAACCCTCCACGTTATTACCTGCAGCTCACTCCAGATGAAGCACCCACAGCCCCGGTTTGTCGGAGCGAGGGGGAAAAGGTTCATGGTCATAAAAACATGTATGACAAACGCAGCGCTGCAGAATCTGTTCCTGCAACAGGTGTGAAGCTCTAGGAACAGGCACCAAATCAGAGAGGGAGAGTGGTGCTGTTAGGAAAGTAATGCAGGAAAATACCAGGAATTAGTCAAATCCCTCCTCAGGAAACCGTCTGCTTCCAACTAATGACTGGCTGCATCCTTTAGACCTCTACAGTGTGTGTGTGTGTGTGTGTGTGTGTGTGTGAAGGGTTAGGATGAAAAGAGAAATCCTTCCTAAAGTCTTTGACCAACAAATCAACACTGACATATCAGTGACAGTCAGAGCACTGGTCCCAGACCGGACCTGGTCCCTGTTCTCCCAGTACCACGTGTCTGTCCTGAGGTTTTAACCATCACAGTGACATGAGGATGTTTCTGTTTCTTAATTTCATGCAGGGTCAATAAGAGAAAAACCTCTGGCCCAGATGTTTCTGATATCGGCCTCTGGAGGTTTTGTGGCACTGACTGATTGTTTCTTGGTCCACTCGAGGCCCGGTGCCCAGGCTGGAAACACAGGATAAAGTTATAAAAACCTGTTCACACATCACCCAGCCATGTGACCTGAAACACTGATTCTAATCCACCTAAAGAACTGAACAGTTCTAGACTAGTACTTGTTGTTGGGGTCATAACTCAGTCTAAGGTGACACAGGTGTGATGGTTTAAAGGAGACCAGGACAAAGCTGCTCCACATTTTCTCTGGTTTATTTGACTCCCGTACGTTGTACAGCAGAAACAGAGGACTGGATGAAGGTGGTTCTAAAGGAAAGCACGAAGAGACGTTTTCTACCTCAAGACATGATCCAGCACAGACGCTACGGTGCATGAACTGCTCCTTTAACATGTCTGGTACGTGGACGGGTTAGTGAGGAACGAAGGCATCAGCGGGGGTTCATAAACAAAACGTCAAACAACATGTTCAAACGAAGCCAACAGTTCACAGCAGCAAACGAGTGTGAAGTAATAAATACATGATAAACAATCTGCTGTACAAGAGCAGTTCCACGTTTAACACGTGACAATCAGCTGTTGTTCAGAGCAGGAGCACATCAGAGGTGAGAGTCATGAAGGGTTTGAGGCCACTGGTTCCATGGAGCCTGTAACTGGTCAGTAACTGGTCAGTCACTGGGACGTATGACTGTTGTTTATGCAGCAAACTGTGACTTTACAGCACAACCAGAAGAGAATAAGGAACACTAGAAGTACTGTCCAAATATTAAAGGTGAGGCAAAAGAACGGGTTTGTGTCTGAGATCGGATACGAGTGGGATCTAGGCAACGTCAGGTCTGTGACTGTGGACGCTGCCTCATCTGTCCTTGTAATGTGGAGACTTTAAAAGAACTGACTGAATATTATCAGGAACAAAAGTCTTTTATCAGAATGAACCTGCAGCTACAAACGGACTTTATTGTCAGGATGTGTCTGGACACTTGGGCTGTTGGATGTGATGCTCCAGGGTCATGACCCCGACCTCTGGATGTGCAGCTCAGAGAAACAGAGAGACAGGATGATGATGATGATGATGCGTGGACACATAAAGAGGGTGGTTTGCAAGCAGTGTGATTATAAGTGCAGCACAGGTAACATGTAGGTAAGTGCATCAGTTAGGGTTGGTCGGAGTAAAGGGTTCATCTGGACCAGCACTCTGGTCCTGGGACGGCTCACATCCAGGACGTGAAGGGTTACTTAGACATGTTTGTGTCGACTAATGTGATGAACGGTTGTGTGGCTGTCGATGTCGGGGCCTGTTTCTCTTCCTCCTCTCGAAGCAGGTGGTTTGTCAAGTACTAGTTTGGGGCTGAGGTCACTTCCTGTTAGAAAAGCGAGGCTTTCTTCTTCAGTTCATTTCGTCTCCACAGAGAGAGGCGGTCGAACTCGGCCATCGGCATCCCGAACACCTGCTCGAACTCCTCTGGAGCCAGATGCCTCTGAGACGAAGAGGAGGAGGTTTAAGGTTAGTAGTTCACGCCTCAGGATGTTAGGATGCAAACCCACTTGTGCCCCCCCCCACCAACCTCCAGTCGGGTGCGGTCGACCCCTGGCGGCAGCTTACAGCGCCCCCTGTGGGTCACAATCAGTGCTTCATAGGGATGGACCTGAGCAGCAGACACACACGGTACAGTGCACGTCATCACCACTGTCCATCAGCTGTTTGATACCATTCATATTGTAGCAGAACCTGAGTCATACAGGACGTCAGGTGGTAGAAGTACACAAAAATACTCAAGGAAAAGTGCAAGTACCTGCCTAAAAAGTACTCCATTACAAGTAGAAGTACCACTTCAGATCCTGTACTCACGTACATGCTCAAAATTTACATTACTTTGTCTCTGGGCATCAAGTCTGAGGGACCCAAAGATCCAAACAGCATCGGTTCTGTTCTGAATGTAAGACGTTTGCTGCCAGCTGTGTTTAATGTGACTCCTTAAACACAACTGGTCTTGTTGAGGTGAATGTAAACGGTTGTTCCAGGTTTGTTCGACGTCGACGCCTCAGGAATAATATTTACACAGAAACCCGACACGTTCGGGCCTCGTTAGGTTTGATTCCTGCTCAGACTCGGCGACAGAGACGAGGCCTCGCACTGGTTCTACTACTGGGAATAAGCCACAACATTAAACAAGTAAGAAATCACTAACTAATAGATCAAGTCAGTGGAGGACTGGAAGCGGGGCTCACCTTCTGCTCCAGGATGCTGGGCAGAGAGTTTCCTCTGTCCATCCTCTCCCTCCGAGCCTCTCCGTTCTACACAAACACACACACACACAGTAGAAGAACACACACTGTATGTACAAGCTGCACAGTGAAGCCAAGCCGAGAGTCAGCAGCGGTAGCCACAGGTGCACGGTGCACTGGGGCCGGTTTAGCGCGCGCACACACACACACACACAGATGCTGTGCAGGAGTCAGTGCAGACTCGTAGCTGCTGGGCTGCAGGAGGCCATGCACATGCTGCGCGCACTCTGAGGTGGAAACGTGCCGGGAACCAACTCACCTGAGCAGCTGTGGCAACATGAGGACAGGAAGAGAAGACAGTGAGGCAGCTGGTTACTCATGTGTGTGGGATGGCACCTAGTGAGTGTGCACGTGGTTCTAATGCTGTGTAAAGCTACAGTCTGTCCTGGCACAAGCTGGGCCACGAGATGCGTGGCGACGGCCCTGTGTGAGGTGAATCTGCATCCTGACTCAGTCAAATGTGAACACGGACATGAAACTGGACTGTCAGTCAGTGTTTACGTTGTCTGAGGGCAGCAGGAAACCGTCAGAGCAGGAAACGTACCTGGCCGCCCCCGGTCTCCATCTGTGGAGAACTCCGCCGACTGCATCTGCAAGGAGACGCAGATCAGTCACGTTCCATACTCAGTGTAAAACCAAAACCCTGTTCAGCTGTTCACACCTGCAGCTACAAACAGTGACGTTTCTCCCTGTAAGTTTAAATTTATATTGACCACACACATTAAAATCTTCACTGTGGAGACGAAGGCAGGTCTGAACTGTGTGATACAACTGTCTTGTTTCCTCTGGGCTTTGTTTTGTCGAGAAGCTTCAGATACATGTTTATCTCACTGTCCATGAAAGAAACTAGATTTATTTTTACATAATTTCATTTAATGGCTTTTTATCCTGAGATCACGTAGTAATGGACAGTGGATAGAATCAAGTCACTGCCCCTCGGCCTCTCCACATCAGGGTCTGCAGGTTCTATTACTGATTCAGTTGTACATGAAGCATCCAGGTCTGCTGAGCAGCATACGACATGAACACGTGCCTACAGAGCTGATCCACATGTTAACATGACTGGGACCGACCGCCTTCTGCAAGGCCGGGTCTAAAGTCCACACTGACTTACTCTGGTCAGGCCGGAGCGCGACGGAGACTTTGATGCACTTGCTGACAAACCTGCAGGTGGAAACACAGGCTGCTGATCAAGAACAGCGTCACCGTGAGGCCACAGGCTGAAGTGCGACAAAGCCTCGGAAGTCTTACTGCTGTGCATGTGAGTTCTGTCGGGCAGCGACTGTGTCTTCCTCCGAAAATGAACGCCTTTCTCTTTCTCCTCCTTCAGGATCAGACGGCCCAGGTTGGACTTGATCTGGATTCAGACACACAAACACAGGAGTCTCAGGTCTGTGTGTTCGACGCCCCCCCAGCTCTGGATACGGTGGAAATGGTTTGAACTGGTTCTTTATAAACTCTGACCAGCAGCCCCTCCCTGAGGACTCTGACACGACTGTGCTCAGGCACCAAACCAAAAGTTCACATGCACACAAAACTGAAAAACCTTGTTAACCTGTGCACGTGTCCCTTTACAGTCACAATCAACCTGCCGTGTGACCGTCTCAGCTGAACTTGCACAGGACTTCATGAGTAACTGGTCTTTGCTGACCTCCAGTGGCTGAACTCGCTCGCCGCAGTGATGTGCACGTGTGCTACACTGCACCATGAGATTCGGTTGCAGGTGCCACACAGCGCGTCTGACCACAGAGCGAGGAAACAGGTTCCTGCTCAGCCACAAAGAGAAGCAGCAAAGCTCTCGACAGGAAGCTGCCGCAGGCCTAGTGTCCGACCCC